GACATCCTGATTTTCTTTAGACTTGACTTTTTAATTTTTTAATTTATTATTTTTATTTTTTTGCTTTCAGTTTTATTATTGTCATTTTATATTTCCAACATTTCATTRCATTCCCCCTGACTCCATTGGGTTGTTGTTGTTTACAATAAAGTTTTTTGAAAAAATGAATAAATAACGAGGAATTCCTACTTTCCTTATTAAAGGGATATGGTATTTATTTTCAAAACTTTCTTCTAAACTAAATATGATGCAGTTTTTAGGTTACAGTGCATTTGTGAGCCGTGGCAGGAGGTATTTGTAATTCTGGAATACAAATCGGGTGTGTACAATAATTTACCATAAAATACAATCATTTTAAACTGATAGTCTGATACTTCAATATTTCCCATCTGGCAACACTGCTTCTTAACATTTTTGTCTTCTTTGTCTTGCGGCTGTTCTCTTTTCAGAGGTCGGATCGAGAAAGACTCATAGATGGGAAGCAAAATGTCTTCAGCTTCAGAATAAAAGTGCTTTGTTTTGCTTTTATTTTTGGATAACTCCAAGTTTAATTTTCACAGGTACACTGCTGGGTCATTGTCAGCCTGGACACTGACTGATCATCATGTCATGAAACATGTCTTTCAGTCCAGTAGGGCAGTCCAAGATTATGTTTGCTTGGTTTTACTTTGGTTTGGTCTTACTTTGCCCTTTCTGCTGCAGCGCTCACCATTTATCTGGACTTGGGAACACCCACAAATACACAAGGGGCTTTCAATGACTGACTACTATTTTTATGCTTTCCTGAGCTGTTTGTATATGTTTTATTCTTTAACAGAAATGTAATTTCAGCCCCACTGCTTTCTGTCATGTTCATGTAGTTTTTATCGTGTGATCCTTGTTTTTAGATTAGGTTTCTGTTACCTTGTTGTGATTCTTATAGTTGTGTTTCCACCTCATTTTCTCTGCTCCATATAACCTGTGTCCTTGAACCACCATCTCAACAGAGTATGGCTTTAGTCATCAGTCTCAGGCCTCAGGGGACTAAAGTGTCAAATCTTGTCACAGGCGGGGCTAAAGTGATCTTATCAAACTAACACACTAATGTATTTAGCTGGTTTCCCTAATGATGCACATAAAATTGTGTTCATGTAAGTGTGATTTATAGCAAACCATGTTCAAAGTTGGTGGGGCTAAAGTGATCTCATTAAACTAACTCAATGTTGTAGAGACAGCGTCATTCAAAAACGTTAAGTCTGAATAATAGCAAGAACCCCCTTGGATGTCTTTAAAAATCTATTCTCATCATCTCTTACTCCAATTAGCTCCGTACAGCAGTACCCAGCACTGCAGTCAGGCCTTTGGTTGTATCTGAAAACCCAAATAAAGCAGCCCAGCAGGCTSAATCTAAGCAGAGACTCTCTGRACAACTCAAAACTTCTTCCACTCATATAATGATGAATTGACCTTATAATGTATTCGTCTTCCTGATTACACTTCTGAAAGTGTTACCTTTTATGTCAGACATTAGCTTAACCAACTTTTGTTTAAGTTACAGAAAGAACACATCAATAAGATACACACCAATTTTTATTCTGTTTTAAATTTAAGGCTGCAATGATCAGAAAGTATAAAAATACAAGACTGAATCTAACGTTCAGTTGATCATTTATAAATGAATAAAACAATTTATATTTCCATCTTTACGTTGAGCAGGTCTCCCTGACGCTGCACACAAAATGTGGTGCAGATCGGATCATATATGTGTGAMTTAGATTTAACTGTGTGCAAACGGCCAAGCATCAGCATTCACCACTCTGCCACAACCACACCATCCTGCCACCAGTCAGTGCTCAGAGAAGCATGCGGTGGGTGAACTCTGGATGTTCAAACCTGTAAGGGGAGGTAGCTCAAACGTCCGAGAAAAGAGACAAATTGGCAGCTTTGATCCAAAATGGCCGACTTCCGGTGGGGATTGACTTTTTTAGGTCCTGAGACGTTACACATGTGTACCAAACTTCAAGTTTCATGATTCCAGGTCCCACAGCATGGCTTGTGGCTAATTTTTTAATAATTGTAAACGGTGCTGTGGAGGAACTAGACCACGCCACCCAAAAAATCAGACTGCATTCCTGTAGTGCGGTGGAGTCGGATCGACCATATCGATTCAGGTGCAGATTGGCTGAAATAGGTGGAATTTAGAGCCAAACGCATGTCAACAGTGCGATGTCTGACCCCTAATTTAAGCTAGATGCGGTTCCGCTTGGCTGAGCTTTTCACAGCCGTTCGTTTGCACCCCAATTTATAGTATCTGTTCTGCTCAGGTCGGCTCGTTGCGAAGCACAGAGGGGTCTGAGAAGTGTGTGTGCAGGAAATGCAAGATTGCATGATCAATCCAGTGATAAATGTGGAGGTCAGGGCAAAAGAATTCATTCTGTGGTGGATGGACTCCAAACACAGCTACATCACCGTTGTCTTTTTGAAACTTCTGATTTCAAAATAAAATCCACATGTATTGTGTGTATACATATGCTGCATGCTACAGGTTGCCATCTGCTTCCCAAACAGAACAATACATTTCAACAGCATTTGTGTAGAAACAGGGCGCTCAAGTTTCACGCATTGTCCGTGAGACACACGTATTTCATGACGTG